TCAAAGGAGTACAGGTATTTATAAACAATTATCTACTTAAAATATTCAATGTCCGTTGTTAGTCGGATATCATTAGTGTTATGTCCCGATGAGAATAATGAACGGTAGCTTTTGGGATTCATTTATGGACCATTACTTTACGTATATTTTTATCGTATAATTGTTAAATAACTAAACTATTTATATTCATGTTCCTCTTATTACGAGCTTTACTTTAACCTTTTAACTATTATTATACGATTTATCATTCTAAAGTTATTCCCAGATTATTGATTACAGTCTCTCATGTTCACAGACACTTTTCAGCTTGATCCTGTATAAATGCTTTTTCCTATTTTGTGGTATGATATGGTCTGTTTAATTGATATATAAACCCAGTATGTTTTAAATAAATGAGTGATATCACAGAGGCTGAGATTGGTGTTCTGGACTTAACAGGCAGGGCTAGGCGGGAAGCGGGATCGCTAGGGACTCGAGACTGCTGGTACAGTTTTTATGAGTCCTTGGTCCGGTAAATAATTCACTGTTTTTTTAATTGGCGGTATCATTACATTATACATTGATAGGAGCACAAACCTACAGGTTATAACAATTAGCAACAGCCTACTGTTAGCGAGGACAAACCAACTTACTGTTGAGAGGGAAATTAGGAAATGACATTAGAGGTGGGTTGGACATACATTAAGGAAGTCACCAAACTGCTTCATGAGGCAGGCACCGACTTTGAATCCTGAAAGGAAACGGAAATAAGGAAGGCCAAAGAACACACTACGTCGAGAATCACAGTCCGACATCAAAAGAATGAATAGCAACTGAAACCAACTGGAAATGATTGTTCAGGACAGAATTGGATGGAGAATGTTTGTGAGAGGCTTATGCTTCTCTATAAGGGGTAACTGAAGCAAATAACTAACTTATCAGTGGTAAATATTTTAAGGGTATTCTCCAGCCTAAAGAATTAATATTTCTAATTAATGTTTAATAAGCCAATAATAAAAAAGTGGTAATCACACTATAAAATTAAGCTCAAATGTATGATATTTAAAATATATTATCACAAAAATAATAGTTTGTTATCATTTGTGAGAAGTGAAAATATCATTAATTAGTTAGTTATCAGTTAATTTTGAGATAACTAGTATTATAGTCGAGGTAATTTATTAAGCCGATTAAAATTATGAAACATATGCTGTGAACTAAGTTATTTGTAAACGTTGATTTTATTTTTAAGGATGATCGAAAGAATCTTTACAATACGAAAAACACTAAACTATATAATCCTAATTCAATTTATGAAACTAGAAACCTTTCTTATACGAATATTCGTCAAGATTAGAACGAATAGTTTGACAGAAATTGGGCGCCGAGTATAAAGAAGACATTTTATGTGCGAATTAAATTTGAAATAATCTCAGCGATTGAAATTTAAATAATTCCAATGTTTTGTTGAGCTAAATTTTCTGGCCTTCTTCAAGGTAATAGTCGAAATCAATGAGCACTGCTGAGGAGTCCCACAATAGGACGGCCGTCCCATACTAGGACGAAACGGCCGTCCAGTGCTTCCAGGTTTTCTATGGTGGCTTAGCTTCAATTGACTCATGAACTCAACAATTGAAATTTATTACTTCTGTTCATTAAATTTTTTACAACATTGACTTTCGTACACTGTGCGTGAGCCGAACCATAATCTTTCAGAATGTGTTGATTTCCTGAGTACATTTATTCTTAACTTATTATTATTATGTCTTCGTTCAACCAAACAATCGAGAAACGCTAGTTTGTGGTCAATGGATTCTAATTCCTTCTTTAATGTAATGCTTTCTGAAATGCTGTTTACATTTTCAGACAACTCTTCTAAGCCATCCTGTTTAATGATAATAAAAATGTCATCTACATACCGTAACTGCATTTTTGTTCATAATAACTGTAGTGTTCCCTTTATCTGCTCAAATATTTGTTCAAATATAATTTTCACATAGAAACCTTCCTTGTTATTATTAATTTTGGTAAACGTAAAATAAAAGTGTCTTCGGATTTGGAGAGTTACTGATGCCACAATATGCTTTATCTCATGGGGCTAAAGAAAAAAACTAAGTGACGACACTAAATAGTGTGTAACTTCACTTTAGATCACTAAATATTTACACTCTAGTTTACCTCTAATTTCAGCTAATGAGAAATATTAGACAACTTTTTTTCCGTTGTCATCAATTATACCCTTCGCAAACCCAAATGTGGTTGAATTTACTGAAAGCAATTAGATAACTGAACTATCATGTCCCTCTTCATTTTAATGTTTGCCTAGTTAACTTCGGTCATTAATGTAAATAACGTGTACCTATTCATATCTAAATTATCTAAATCTACCAGAATTTAATTAAAATAGTTACAAGATAATTTAACTGTTCTAACATATATTATTTATCCAGATTATGATCACCATAGATTGATGGACACATTTCATTATAGATAGTTCTGATCATTAAAGATCTCATTTAAATTAGAACTGATTTATCATCTATTAATCAACTGATTAAATAATCTGTCGAAAAGAAAAAAACAATTCACCTTATTTAGTTAATTTAGTTTCATCAAAAATCTGACAGAAAATGATAACAGAAAATTTAATTAGGTCAAACAATAGGCTTGAAGCGTCATTATAGAAAATTAATCTTATATAACTATCAACAAGATCTAGTAATCTACTTTTACAGTCCAAAATATTGTCGAAAAAAGTCAACATTCAAATGATCATCATTCCATTCTTCTGAATTCCAAGGTTACAATAGTTTATATGTCTCACTATTTAATGTGACCACATGATCTTTAATAAATATTAGGTCTATAGAAAAAAGATTTTGGAGAACATTTATAGTTGAAAAAAAATTTCAATTAGTAAAAATAAAAATAATTAAAAGTTAAATCGTTACTGAGCAAAGGTAAAAACTTGAATTAGACTGTTGTTTCATTCTATTTCAGTTATGTTTTATAATTTATCGACTTAGTCTATGAGTAGTGGTTAAGTGCTCTCGCGCGAGACTAATAGGTCCTGGGTGGTCGTGGATGCTCATTGCTGAAGAGTCCCACAATAGGATGAAACGGCCGTCCATTGCTTCTAGGTTTTCCATGGTGATCTAGCTTTAATTGACTCATGATTTCAACTATTGAAATTACTACAATCTACAGAAAATCCCTCCTGAGAGTAATGATTTCTTGCTGGATATATGAATGTGAACGAGAAAGCAAATATAATAGTATTCGATTTTAAAATTATGCGACGAATTCATTGTGTGTAAAAGTGTAGTCATAAGATAATTATGTAATCAGTATTGTTACATCCTTTGATTAATAAATATATGATTATAAAGTTTTGAAAATTAGCGTTGCACCCACTTAAAAATCAAGTGAGTAGTTGATATGATGCTAGACAACTATTTCATTCCATCACTGATATATGTCTCAGTTTCTACATAAATTACACCATTCACAGGTTTTCCCTAGAATAGAGTTCCGCTACAAACTAGTCACTTGTAAGAGTATAATCATTCATATCAAGTTACCGTGGTTGATGAAGATTTTTTTATCTTAGGTTAGTTTCAACTATGCGCCAACATCAACTGGATAATCAAAGTAAAATGAATAGGTGTTTCTCCTTAGTTTTAGATTTATTAGAGATATGTTAATATGCTCATATAATCTAACTCTTCGGCATTTTTGCTAAACTGAATCAACAAACATTTCAACCCATCAGTATACACAAACTTTCTTAACTGAGAAAGCATTTGACGGTGTGGATAGAAGAAACTTATGAAGCCTTCTTCAATACTATGGAGCACCTGAGAAGATAGTTAACATCATACAGGACTCTGATAACGGACTTCACTGAAACGTCATGCCTGGAATGCAGCTAGCTCGTCTAACGCAAACACAAAACAGATGCACGTGAAGACAGCCGATGTAGCAGCAGCATCTGCAACAGTAGGCCTCAACATACACAAGGGAAAAACCAAGATCCCCTAAACACAACAAGAAGAACACCAACCCGATCACACTTGTTGGAGAAGTTCTAAAAGATATAGAAACATTGACGAACCTGGAAAACAGCACCATCGATGAACAAGGAGGATCTGATGAAGATGCGAAAGAAAGGAGTGACAAAGCAAGGACAGCATTTCTACAGTCGATGAACACATGGAAATCAAAACAACTGTCAGCCTACATCAAGGTTCGAATTTGCAATACGAACGTCAAGACAGTTCTACTGTACGGAGCTGAAACGTGGAGAACTACTACAACCATCATCAAAAATGTACAAGTGTTTATAAACAACTGTCTACACAAAATACTCATCAGCAACAGCCTACTATAACAGATGATAAATCAACTTTTAACTGAAGAGGAAATTAAGAATATTGGGGAAGTCAACAAACTGCATCACGAGACAAGCACTAACTTGGAATCCTTAAGACACATTGCAACAACTTGAAAAGGGAGTCCACGACATAGCTGGATGGAGATATTTGGTGGATTACCTATACTCCTCCACGAGGGGTAACAAATGTAAGTATATATAAAAATTAACAGACTCTAAAATGACTTCTACAAACCACATTTGTATTAAAAAGTGTATTTCAATTCACTATTTTACAAAGCTTCCAGCATTTTGAGCAACTATTTTTAGAAATTTAAGATTGTCTATTTCGCATATTTCCATTCTTTTAATCACCGTAATATTATTGCATACACTTAATAGCATCCGTATATTCAAATTTATTTAAGTGAAATCGAAAGATTTTCATTGGTTATTTGAAAATCAACTGTCACTTTAGACAACCAATCAAATGAAAATGACAACCATTTTCCTAATTTTTGACCTTGTATGAATATTTCCTTTTATTGTTTAGATAGAGATAAAGTAGAATCATTCCTACATATATATGACAAAAGTTTTAGTATCCAATATATTTAGGCTGTAAAACAGAAGGAACTTAAAAAGAAACATGTCAGAAACAGAACAACCTTCAACTTCCGACGGATTAGATATTGGAGAAACGAAAGGAGCTACATCAATGAACGACGTAACACGTAAAGTATTAATGCCAGTCGATGGAAGTGAACATAGTGAAAGAGCATTCAATTGGTATATGGATAATCTTATGAAAACAACTGATGGTTTATATCTGGTTCATATTGTAGAACCGTTATCACAAGGATTGAATTACAATCTTGCAAGTAAATCTCCCTCTATAAAAGATGATTTTTCAAAACATCTAAATTCTCTTGTTGAATCTGGTCGTGCATTACGTGCTAAATTTTTTACACGTTGTGAAGATAGTGGTTTATCAGCAAGATTTACCATACATGTTGGTACAAAACCAGGTGAAAATATTGTACGTATCGCCACTGAACATGGAGTTGATTTAGTTATTATAGGAAATCGTGGTATTGGAACAGTAAAAAGAACCTTTTTAGGTAGTGTAAGTGATTATGTTTTACATCATGCCAATGTTCCTGTTATTATAATACCACCGCCTAAACATCCAAAGAAAAAATAAAACGATCCTATCTTATTTCCTTCTTCCTCTTTATGAACAGATTATTAAAAAAAAGTGGTTTGTGTTCTATGTTGTGTTAGAATATTTTATTAAACTGTTTATCTTAGCGTGGTGTTATCAATTTATAGTCTATAATGATATTACGGTACGTATATATCTATATACATATGTATATGCAAAAATCATTTTGAATCAGATTTATCCCATTTCATAGTACCTCATTTGTGATCAGTGTTCTCGTTTACTGAAAGTAAATTTCTTTTAAACGGTAAGCAAACATTCAATAACTTTCAAGTACTTTGTTTATTCATAGCAAATAAATGCAAAGAAATTTAATACTGAATAGATGTTATTTTTACGAAAGGATATTTGTTTGCTAAGGGAATTTCAAACAGACTTATCTACCTATGTATTTAAGGTATGTTTTGGTTTCATGAGAACAAGCTATTTGATTCCTAAACGATGCCTTAAACATTCTTTATAATATGAGTTATTATCGAGATATCATTAGTTTATTCATTCTAAGAATGTTATAAATTTAATAAAATACAATCAAAATAACTTCAACACCAAATTGAATTCCATTTAATGCCAAGTTAAATGAATTGAATTAATTTAAAAGGTGTAAATTCAATCAAATAGGGAATGATACAATTACTTTTAGATAAAGTCTAACGGTATTACAATATGATTGGTCTTTAAAATTTTAGACCATTGTTTTTGTTATATAACACATGTTACTCTTTAGTATAATAACACATGAATTTAAGGAAATATATCGTTGAGTAGTGATAAATTGAAATGAAACAGGAATTCATTATGTTCTTCTGTCGTTAATTGTTCCTCAGCTTTTATCGTAAAAAGAGGGCAGTCACTTAAACAGTAGTTTTAAACTGATATCGATATGCATCAAGTGTATTTTCTTTTAATATATCAGGTTTATATGCTATTTATTCTTATTAAAGATAAATGAAGTAAAATTAGAAATCGTTACTGCCATAACGTGATGCGTTATAAAGGAAATCAAGTCATTTCCGTAATCATGTTTATTCAGGTTACCTGAATAGTAAATAATACTATAAATTGTTCCGTCATTCAGCCTATCACACTCTCAAAATTATAGATTTAAGACTTTTAATTGAGCCTAACGTTTCATCAAGCTTATCAATGAATTGAAATTACTCCTAGATAGATATGTTTATTGATGAATACATCCCACTTTGTCCTTACAACTTATTAGTAGTTTGATTATAAATAAACTACCCGATCAGCTTTTGTAAGCTTCTTTAAAATTTGTTAATTATAATGAGCGCACCTTAATAAAATAGAAGAAAATATATTTGTAGGCACTGAGAATAACATGAATCACTTGAGAAAAATTTTCGAACAGATCATACAGTAGTGAACGAGAACATAGGTTAAGACAATCGTTTATTTGATAAAATAGAAAACCCATACTTCATTACTTTATTTGCAAAATGTTAATTAATTGTTTTATACTTCATTGTTCCTGTATTTCTACACCAATTACTTTCAGTTCTCGTTCTTTCCTCTTTGATCTTCTTGAACTTCTGCTGCCAGGTATTCTATTCCTGATTGGTATTATATACTACTTATGTCAACATATGTAGCACACACCACAATACTAATAGTCTTTAGCAACTGGCCCCAATACAAATAATTTTAACAATATTTCTGTTAGTATAACTATCTAGTGAGAAATAGTTGCATAGTATGATGATTAGAATTATGATATTTCCAAAATTTAATAATTCCTCGATCAACTATCTCAGTTATGACATAACTATTTCTAAATGTTATAAAATGAAATATTTAAGATATTTATTCTGCTTTCATTTAACGTGATCTAAATTATTTAACCACAAGGATAACAATGATATCTTAGTATTAAAATCTTATCCAATGGAATGTACATAAAATTTCAACTATCATGATTGTAATTAGAAAAAGAAGAAAAATAAATAACTTCTAGCCTAATACTTCATTAGTGTATTAATATTTCTATCTGAAGCGATTCCTGTGCAGTTCGTTGATATAATAACATGACATTTGTAGTTTTTAGAATAAATAGCATAAAGATGTGTGCCCCTATCCTTCCGAGTTCTTATGGAGCCGTTTAGCCGAACAGCATATAGACGACTGTTAACGGGGATCTATTCTATTGGTGCTTGTTCTGTCCTCATACTTAGTGCTATGCCTACACCTACTAGTCCACGAGAACTAGCCTTCAGGTCTACAGATACACGGAGTGTGTATCTCGTCGGCTCTCCGTTTTGCCGAGGTGAGATCAAGTGAATGAGCACACTAGGACACTGTATGCGTGTTTTCGAGATACAGCATACATCAATCGCACGAGATTCTAGGGTTTTAATCAAGGTGCCTGCTGTCCTATTTGATATAGGTTACGTACGTTGAAGGCTCCAATGAGTAGTTTGTAGTGAGGTTTCAGTAGACCTGGGACAGTGTTCTGCGCATCAAAATCCGTGGCCATAGTGACACTTGATGAGGAAGTCAAAAGAGCAAGTTTAGAATTGAAGGTCGACATAGGAGGAATAATAAGAATTGAAGAGGAAGATTGATTATGAATACAGTTCTCTTGGTTGCGACAGTTCATTCTGTTCTACTTTACGGCTGCGAAACTTGGCCATTAAGGGTAACGACACTCGTAAGCTACTAGTATTTGATTACAGATGTCATAGAAATATTGCTTACATCTGCTGGGATCAACAGGTGGGTAATAATGAGGTTAAACGCAAGGTATTAGGGAATGATAGTAAATCAGTCGTTGAGGTTGTAAATCTTCATCGACTAAGATGGTTGGGCTACGCGTTACGTATGCTTGAACACTGATTACCACGATGCGCAATGCTGACCAGTGTTGGAGATGGTTGGAAGAAAGTTAAGGGCGGTCAAACCAAAACGTGGCGTCAGTCCTCGTAGTTACTAACTTTTGGTTCGAGCCATGTCGGTAGGTGCGGACCACTTGGTTGGGACCCGCGCGACTATAGTAACCAATGGTTAGAGACTCTTGGTGACATAGCTCAGAATCGATCACAGTGGCGTCGGTGTATACACTATCTACCTTTCCTTAAACTATGGGATTAAAATCGCTTCAAATCTTTCTACAAACTAATTCTTTCTTCCTATACTATGCCCTTATATGCAATCTTTCTTTTACATAATACTATCATTGAAGTCACCAATTCTATGAATTTGGTGTTCATCTTGTTTTGCTAATGAGGTATGGCTAATTGGACCGCTGCACATATGTGCCTGGTTTTACGTCGTAGCTGACTGACTTACTGAAATAGAAATTTGGCTATCTTACTCTTTCATAAATTCAATTGTTTGTAATAAAATCTATAATAAGCTTTAACTATTGAATTCTTCTATGTTTTAAAAATTTTTTGATTACTATGAGATTAAACAATGTTACAGGAAAGAATATATTGGATCTTCATTATTTAGATTTAAAATGAAACCATAATATTTTATGTTTTCATTTACGAAAAAAAACATTTTAATAGTTGCGAATAGTTATTAGATGGATTGTAAGTTTACACTCTGAGATATGAATGACTCTAATCAACTTTCTATATTGTGAGAAGAATATCAAATGTTAAAATAATGAATCTAATTGATTATATTTTAGTGGCTCGGGATCTGACTCCAGTTATATTACATGTCTGATTGTTATTGAGATATACATATCACCGGTTCTCGTTTACAATTATCGACTTAAATCGCGTTAGTGAATAACGGAATTGAATAACTCAAATACGAGAATGGATGTTTGAATACGTATTTTTTGTACTATCGGTGATCGGAACAAACAGTCAGAGAATCGCAGCAAATGAGACGAAGAAGAAAGAGAGAAACGAAAAAAAATGATGCGCGGTGGAAAAGGCATGTGAGCCAACTCCATTTAACCCAGATTTAATCAGTATTTATATGCAAACAAAAATAAGTTACAGACATGTGATGAATAGGATAAGTGGTGCACACACATATGCTCATATAAGAACAGTTAAGGTTGATAAGTGAATAAATAACAAGGTCAAGACGTGACTCAAGAAGAATGAATAGATTAGCTTGTCAAGAAGCTAGAATAAGTTATATGGGCTTAACATAGTAACCAACACTACAATATGATGGTTATATACGTCACTTAGTAAAATGAAGTTTATCATTAAGCGCTTTAGTTTTAAATACTACAACGAATTACTCGAATGACTTTTAGGTTAAAAGCTATATTACAGTTTTGAGAATACAACTTACTGACACTTACCCATATAAGCCTATTAGAAATCTTGTAGTGATAAACGGAATACTTCCTATTATTGATAAAGAAATTAGATTTTGTTGGTAGAATTAACCAACTTAACACGCTGAAACTGTGAACATTAGAGTAATCTACTTGGAGTCGTTCAGTTTCACAGTCATAAATCATAAAATCGTATTTGCACATTATAACTCATCACTGAAGATTTAGATAAAAATGGTTTTTCTAAGGTGACTTCAGACATGTTATATGGAATATTAGCGTGAGACAACAAAATACAGATTACTTTTAAAATATTCAACTCGTATACTTTATCAGACGCTTGATCACTATCTTATAAAGTGAACACAATTTCTAAAAAGAGTAGTCACAAGGATCTTTTTGAAATTATTACTGATAGCTCTGCTTTTATTCGATATTAAATCAACTACTTCTTTTAGTTTAAGAACATATATCTAGCAATATGAAATTAGTTCGATAAATTCCTAAGCTCCAATTAGGTCATTAAGCAAATAAAATTAATAA